CTGTCCAGATGACTAAGAGCAAACTACTGTGATGAAAGATAATTTAATAAGAAAACGAAACTAGTGATTTCTTTCACTAGAAAGCAATTTTATTTCAAAAAAGAAGTAATCTACCTAAGGTCACAAATCAAAATCTTGCACTTGACTTGATGTTAGTCTTTATGAGATACTCTCTTTGAAATGCTTATCATTATCCCCTACCATTTGATTTGCCACAGAGAAGATGCTAAGAGTGTATCTTCTGTGCATTTAGAGAGGTGGTTTCTTTGGTTCTCTAATGAATCTTTTGTCTTAGTGAAGTACAAACATCTCTTCAGTGGAAAATAGTACTCAATTGTCCACAGTCTGAAGCAGTTCCTGATGGAATTTTGTTACAACCTCTTTAAAGTCCACCTTGAGTGCTGTTGCTTCATGCCTGTATTTCCTTTATCTGGAGGCAGGATGGGGCAAAAGATAATTTACCCATTGGAGACCTTTGATGTAAGAAAACATGTTATTATCTCTATTTACAAACAAAAAAACCTGAGCATAAATAGAAAAAGATCTGATCTGATCTTTATTTTATTGAACAAACACTTATATACTGCTTATCAGTGGTATTTGTATTCTGGCTTTAAGATGAGGAAGCTGAGGCTCAGAGGTTAAGTAACAAGCCGATTAAAGGCAGAGCTGGGATTCGAAGTCAGGCAGTCTGGCTCTAGAGACTGTGTTGTTCAATAGAACCAGAAACAAAATCTCTTGACTTGTAGTTTAGGCCTTCTACAAGTAAACTAGGTAAGTACACATCCAGTTTTCTGTCAAGTAACCAAAACCAAATCTACGTTTCTGTCCAGTGAACTTCCTCCATCAAGCTTTCATCAAGCATTCTTATCATTCAGACCCATTGCACTTGATCTATTGCTAGTCTTTACAAATGACTTCACTGCAAAAGCAAAAAACAAAAACAAAACCAATTTCTTTTTAAAAGGACTGGAACTGCTGATACCTGGAGTCACAAGGTACTGAACATTTGTGCTGGAAATCAAATTTTTTAAAGGATGCAGTTGTTAAAGCAGGTTTTTCTTTTTTCTTTTTTTTTTTGCTTGATTGCTTCAAAGGGAAATCAAACACAAATGTGACCAAGTTAATCAGGATTGAAAGATGTCCGTGCTTTCTCTCCCTAGGCATAGAAAGGACCAAACCAGCTCTATTTTTATTAATGGACTTGTACAGGAATGAGAAGAGGATGATATTAACCCCTGGGGAGCTGAGAGAGAACAGTTCTTAACGCTCATTATTTAATAAACAATTAAGCAAGGTTCAGTTAATCATTGTAGTAATTTCCTCCACTTTTAATTTGATTTGGATTTGACTATAGTAGCAACTAGCTTGCCTTGGACTTTTTGTAAGAGAGGGAGTTTATAAGCATTATCCTCTATTTCCAAGCCACTAGGTCCCTCACGCCCTTATAAATTAATTTAAATAATTAAAATAATTATGCTAAAATGTGTGAAATACCTCATTTTTAGGCTTTTTTCTGAAATGAAAATCAGAAAAAAATGGAATGTTAGTTAAAATAATATTGCTTGGAGCATTCACAGGCATCGGTGTCATTACGAGCATGCCTTCTTCTCCTGGTAAAAGATTTCCTTTATACCGAGCACCAACACTTCTTTAACCAGATCTCAGGACTGCTAGCTGAGGGGGACAGCAACAGATGGTTTTCCTCCTGCACTTTCTAATATTTTGGTCTCCGGTGAATCCACATACAAAAGCTTCCTTCCTTTAACTGGAGTCCACAAATGAAAGGCTTTTCTTTTTCTGATTGTAGATTAGCCTGCCAAGAAACAAACACGAGCTGGAGAACATCACTTTAATTTATTGATGGGATACAGATGACAAGGAAATCTGTCCTCTTGGCGGCTTTTGGGAACGCTTCAGGCTGACCTAGCACAGCCGAGTTCATACTGCAGAGACAGACCTTGCAAAAAACTGAAGCCAATAGTCATTGCAAACCTCTGAACCAAAACATTCCTTGAGTGCTTGAATTTCCCTATAATTTGTGTAGATTCCCTTTTTTTGTCAATGAAGCTAGCGGTGGATAACTAGCTTAGCGCAATCAGACAAAACAACCGGGCCATTCATCCAGTAATGAGATGATAGCCATTCTGCGTGCTTCGTGGTTTCCGTTCTTCATTCTTGCCTTTCTTTTCAAGTCCTTGGAGAGAAACCCTGGGATATTTGGCAAAGCGAAGGCCCTTGTTGAAAAATATCCTGTCTTTTTTACTTCAGGGCTGCTAATAAGTTCTATTCTCAGAGGCAAAACATGAGATGCACATAGCAGGGAGGACCAGCCAGATTACAAAAAACAAAACAAAACAAAAAACCCAAAAAATAAAAAACAAAACAAAACTCAGCTTATATTTGTTAAATTTCTCTCTCCTTATAGTTTTGCCTTCCTAAGCCTGAAGAAGCTTTACTCTATCTAACTTTACTAGCTTTAGCTTTACTCTTCTATCCAACAGCACACAAATGAATTTGATACGCAAGCTAAATGTTATAGCAGATCTTACCTAAATTACTTTTTAAACTCCCAGACATAAAAATGTTATGAGAAGTGAACAGAAAAGTTATGGGAAGAGACAGAAAGACAGGAAAAGCAAGTGGGGGGTGGGGTGGCTTTCTCTGAAAATTGTCTGGAGCTTTGGGTCAGGAGTCTTGGGGGCAAGTGGTACAACCTGAACTTCTTGAAGGAAAAGAGGCTTTCTTTGGCTACCTGATTGACAATGTAGAAAGGTAGAGGAGGTGATTGGAGGCACCGACCTAGACCTTGTCAGAAGTTTCTCTCTTCCTTTCTTCTTTTTCTCCTATGGATTGATTATTATTGTTGTTTTTCTGAGTCACCTAGCACCACAGCTAGAATTGTGTTGTTAAAAGATAAACTGAAGCATATGAAAAATATTGTAAGAGGCTAATTGAGCAAAAATCTACTTGAATCAGGCAGTGCTAAACCAGAAGTGGGTAGAAACCGCCCAGAGAGGAGCTGAAGGGGGAACCTTTTATAGAGAAAAGCTAGGAGCAAAATAAGGAAAATACTGATTAACGTCATTGTCTGTTTGCGATGGGCTGTCCTTAGGTTTCCATTTTATATTCCATGGTGGCCTCGATGTGATGTAGGCCACCATGAACTAGAGCCACCTAGGTTTGAAGATTTAATTAATTTGGTAATAACTAATGAAATTTTAAGCCCCCGTGATAGTTATGAGATCAAAATGTTGAAAACTACTGTCTTCTTGGATTCAAGATGGCCCAGGAAGGTGCTGACGTGGGATGTGTCTTTCCTCTTGGATCAACCACTCTGGGCATTGGGATGAGGCTTTAAAACTGGTCCAGCCTAGGTCACAAACCCATTCTTGACCCTGAGGTCAAGGACTTGGTCTACCTTTCCTATAGAAGCGAAGATAGGCTGAGCAGACAAAAATAATAGCCACTAGAAATTTGTCTCTGTTCCTTGGTTTTTCCACTTAAAAGGTATATTTGGTATTGGAAATGTCATAGGGTTGTGGTTCTCCTATGAAAATAGAATAGAAGCTAATATACCAAGTAGGTCTCAGCAGTGACATTGCCGTATTGGGGGTCAGTTGAATTGCAAAGGATAGGGTGTTTTGTGCTCTGACATAAGAGCACGAGGAAATTTTATAACTGCGTAGAAGTTACCCCTTCAACTCTAAAGAACATTTGAGAGCTTTTCTAAGTTACCCTGTGAGGGAATAGTATGTTACCTTTAAACTAAAATCTATTATTTTTAATTATCAAAGTGGAATACAAGTTGGCCTGAATGGGAGCTAGGTAGTGTTAGGATGTACAGGGGAAGATTCACTGTCATCTTACTCCAGAACAAGGATCAGCAAACTTTTTTTTGTAAATGATGGATAATAAATATTTTTGGCTTGCATAGCATATGTTCTCTACTTTAGCTATATAACTCTGTTCTTGAAGTAGAAAAGTGGTCATAGACAATATGAAAATGAGAACATGAGGCTGTTTTTCAATAAAACTTCATTTGCAAATAGAGGATGTGGGCAGTGGTAGTTTGTTGACGCTGACATAGACAACTACTTCTGAGATGTGTAAAGTGACTCATTATGCCACATTTACATTTAGAAGCTCTTGAGTGACCTAGAAGTAGATTTACAGCAATATCTAGCTCTAGAGATTTGTTATAAATTTTATTTTGTTTTTAAAACACATACATTATGTAAAATATAAGAATTAATGTACAATCTCAAGGTCGGTTTTAGTGATGAAAATGTACAAATCTAGAAACACATTTACTGCCTGCTGCATATAAATTGCATATAAGGAACATAGGTGGCACAAAAATCAAGCAAACAGCTAGTCACCCTTTGGCTGAAATTAATCCTCGCAGTTACGACAGACTTATCAACAGGAATAAAAGCACCGATAGCTGCATCAAAACCACGCCAGGCTGAATTAGTCCTGGAAAGGGGTGAGTTGGGAGGATCACAAGGGAAGCACCTGTAGCCACAAATTTTACACTTGTTCTTATAAGAGATTGAGACTAACCCTCCACACATCACTTTTCTGGATGCCACAGGCTTTTGCTACAGAGGCATTTCAGGCTTCAAATAAAATCATCCTTTCACGAGAAAGTTGAAAATACTTCTCTGGAGTTCATGATCCTGGAAACAGTTTGCTATAGGTCCTCAAATCAAATTTCAAGAGTAAAAGAAAATGCAGGACAGTCTCAGAATGTAAACAATAGAATTGCTGATCAAGGGGCTTCATTCATGGATGAAGACTCCTCACAATACCAGTGTCTTGGTTTTTGAAGTTCATGTGAGCTTTATATCCTAGAAGTGTTATACAGGTTTTTCAATCATAGTCTTCCAAAGAGGATAAATTTTCCTGATGTTGCTACAAAAGACAAAAATAACTAACATTGCATGGAGAAGATACTAAGCAGTTCTGAGGCTTGTTTTTGTTTGCTTGTTTTACTTTCACATTTTGCTTTTGTGGTAGGCATATGGAAAACCAAACTGGGAAATCATGATGTTGGAGTATTTTAAGGGCATGCTATCATAAATATTAACAAGCTTGTTTATACAATAAGACCTTTGCAGAAAGTGCTCCGCTCGGTGCCACATCCCAGAATAGCCATCATTGGTTTCTTTCTCTAAATTGCCCATGTTTACAGGTTTCACAAATATCCCAGAAGTCTTTCCAATGTGTTTGGCAATGATAAAATTCATGGCAATGTCATCACAGCTTTGTGTTTCATCTATCAAAGCCTGAACAACTGCTGGTTGCTGCTGAGAGAGTTCAAGATATTTGCTGTTGAAAAATGAGGCTGTGATCAACACCACAGAATAACGGTCACCATTTCCAAACTCTGGTGTTTGCAAAGCTCCATAATCATATATACTGGATGAAGTGGAGACGTGCTTTCTAGGAGCAAATCCTACAATTTGATCAGGAAATTGCTGCCAAACTGAGAAAGCAAAGTCAAGATCCTCCGCACTCTTTAGTGTGTCATCATTTTCCATGAACACTGCATTGGTTTCCAGTTCAGGACAGACCTGGAGTTGATTGCTCATCCTGTTTGTTGTCTGTACATCGACGATTACAGAGACAGGGTGAGGTCTTAGAGAATTCCACATTCCTCTGGTCCCTTCTCCTCAGTATTGTTTTACACTACAATCACATTGTGGTACTGCCTTCTAAAGATTAAAAGTCTCAATAAGAGATCTATTCTAAGTCTGCATTACAAGAGTAAAGGAATCCAGGGTTGACTTGCCCAGGGATTTTATTTTCCTACATAAAGTGATAATCTTACCTTCTTTCATAGTAGAAAATAAAGTGGTCAAACCCCTATCTACCAGTAGTTACAAAGGCAAAGCACTGAAATCTCCCTCCGTCTTCCCAGAAGTTTGGAGATATGGCAACATCTTACTATGGAAAGTTTTATGAAACCTTTCCTTCTGTCAGCAGTAGATAGGAACAGGTTCTCTGGACTTTCAAGTGCAGAGGATGGCAGTTCAGCCAGCCATTTGGTTATCATAAAACAGAAGAAGCTATTGCTTGCCCATTTTTTCAAACCCCCTCACCTCAGCTTGATTCCCCAGAAAAAATCACCACCCACAAAGCGAGAGCCTGAAGCAGGGGACAGTTCCTGGTGGTGCTGGCTATACATTTAAAGTATAAATATGTTTGTTTAAAATGCTAGATCTTAAGTAAAATTTAACCACAGTTAACCTATTTCCATTCTAGTAAAGCAGTTTCATTGTTTATTTTATGATGTTAAAAAGCTCTTCAAGAATGAATATAACATGGATTGAAATGCAAATCTGATATAAACCCATGGAAGTGAGCATATCTGCATTTTTAAAAAAGATTTATGCATGTAAGAACTGGGGTACAGGCCAGGGGTACAAGGGGGTGAGAGGATTCACCAGAGACAGAGTGGGGAACAGAACAGGCTGACTAACTGAAATACACTGCTGAGGGGAGCAGTGGGCGAGACAGGAAAGGTCTGCTGCGCCATGTGGGTAGCTTCCTGGCTGGCTAGGGATCGAATTCATGCTGCAGAGGTTGTGGATAGCCTCACAGTGCTATACTTAACCCCTTGCGTCACCAGGGAGGCCCAATATCTACATTTTTACCTGTTTTCCTTCTGGGAAACAATAATTACTGGCAACATACTATGAGCAAATCTGCTTCTTTATTTGTAACCCTCACAGTCATGTGAGTATGCTGTTATTACTTGATGTTTGAAATATGTCTCAGTTGAAACTTGAAACTTTATGAACTAAAAAACTTGGAAGTCCTTCAGACAGCAGATTATATTTACAATATAACTTTCAATATTTTCATTATATCCCTTTATTTTAAGCATTTATTAGGTAGCTATAAAAATCACTTTGGGACCAATCTTGATGTGTTTCCTAAATGTACTGATTGTACTAAATAAGGAAATGTATTTTCCATATTTCATCATTTCTAAGATGCAGTCTCCCCCAAATTTGAAATCAGGTTTCTTCAGTGATGGAAAACATCTTACACGTGGCTGTAGTCATGAAACAGTTGCAATTATCTGCATGAGATTGGTCAGAAAGATCTCTCTCGGAAACTTATCTTAAGAACATGAAAAATCACCATATGAAGGTCAGCGTCATGAAAAAAAAAAAAACACTTGAGAAAATGACAGAGTGCTTTTTTTAGGAGTTTTTGGGATACCTACCTGGATGTCACCGAATCTTGCATAATCACAGATACCAATGAAGTTCAATCAAAATGTGACTTAGAAGAGCAGTATCTGAATGCAAAATAGTTTGGGACTACCTTTACTGATGTATTTTGTTGATACATTCCTTTTTTTATATGCCCAAGACTAACATACAATAATAATTTATATTTAATTAAGTCAAAAGAGCTCTTCCAATAAGTATAAAAAAATCTTAGGGATAAAAGTACATAGCATCTTTGTTTCATTGGAAGCATTTTTTCCCCCTTAGCGGTATATATAATATAAATGGTGCTCTTTACAATCAATTATGTGTTAGATGCAATGATATAAAGTGAGAATAGTTCTATATTTAAATTAATAAATAATAACATTATTTCTTATACCTGAAGTAATAATAACAAAACCTTTACTGTTTTCATTAAAGAAAATCCAACTTGTCACCTGAAAAAGCACAGCAATTTCATCACTTACTCATTGGCCTCTCACTACGTCTTCTAAAACCCAACTTGAAAAGATAGTTTGAGTGCTTAGTTTCATTATATGGAATTTTAGACAAAGTACACATTTTACAAGGATCAAGTCCATATGGAGATCAGCAGCAGCACTGGCAGCCTCAGTATTACCTTTATGCTTTCTTTTGAATGTTTTTAATGATTTGTTAGCAGCATTTTGTGATGACACTACTTTAGTGGCAAGAAAGTCAAATGAATAAAGGATTAATCAGAATGTTTTGAATGTCAGGTGTGGCCACACTGATGTTTTTATAGATGTAAGCTACTATCTTAAATGTTCTCAGAAGGATACATGTTGGAAAATTATTGTCAGTATCTACTACTTTGAACAAGTGTCTATTATGGGGTTGGTGTATGCAGACTGGGAATACTAGGTCTGCGAGGTAGTGACTCCATAGTTACTTAAGGAATTGTTCATTCTTTAGAAGTAGATGACTTTGATGAGGACTTAAGTATTTTAATGCAGTTAAGCACTGTCTGTCACATGGCAATCTAAAACCTGGTATGGCTTAATTAATGCCCAAAGGGTTTGATGCCTTTGCTCTGAACTATAGTAAATAAACACTTGGAAGGAGAATTGAAAGTTTGGCTGAAGTAGCAATAGATTGTCAATCACACATTATTAACATTAGCAGCAGTTTTCATAGTGATGCTTGGCTACATTTTGCAGAATATGGAATGTGGCCACATATTGTTAAGAAACACCCCAAGACCTGATTGAAAATATTTAGTTCCTATTTGAGTTATTATCTGTGTAATTTTGGCATGTTTTTTTTGGAGAGGCCATCATACATGATAGCCAGTGATGGATCAATCACACTCCTGTCATTTAATTAAATATATTACTGTGTTTTGGTCATAGTTTCATTGTTGTCTTCCCTTTATCCAATGTATTGATGAGACTGATGTTGGCCTGCTGCATAATCTTCACAATGATTAATAGTATATTTTTATTAAAAACAATTTTTGGTGTGAATTAGTTCTTTATTTACATTTAGGAGATAGCATAGAAACTTTTTGGTAGTCATGCTAATAAATTGAGGAATTTAGCTTCAAATTTGTCTATTGTATCAATTCTTTTGGATTACACATTTGCAATTTTTGTTTGTAGAGCTATAAAGTTGATGTAATTGGCACCTGGAAATGGAATTTTACTGTGCAAATAACTGAAATGTACCAGAAAGTGGGTGGAGGCTGGAAGAATTTTGAGGAGCATGACCGTGAAAGTCTAAATTTCCTTTAATTAGTTATTAGTGAAAATCTGTGTCTTATGACACTGCCCAGTGCAGATTCAAAAGAAGTGAGGAACATGTCATTGGAAACTGGAGGAAAGGGGAATCTTGATATGTATGTAATGTCAGAAAACTTAGCAAAATTGTCTCATAACTGTGTAAATCAACTTGTAAATGATGAATTTTGTTATAAAGCTAAGCATATAACAAGCAGCATATTGAAGGAATCATCTGGTTTCTTCTCCCTGTTCATAGTAAAAAAAATGGAGGAAAGATAGTAAATTGAGAGAAGAACTGTAAATCAAATGTAACAAGATTAGATGTTCTTGAAAATTCTCAATTTTTAATGGCAATTTTCTAAATTAAGATAAGACTTCCTGTTAGTTTCAGGAAAGTGTGCATTAGACAAAGACCAAGGATATGATGTCACAACCTTTTGCTAAAACTCAGATCAAAAGCATGGACTATTCTGTCACCCAAGGGTCCTTTTAAGAGTTTAAGGGTGTACCTTATAGATGCTCCCATTCAAAGCATAGAGCATCCAGGTAGCTTAAGAGTGTTGTCCCTCAATCATCTCAGCAGAAATTTAATCTCAGAAAGATCTGTGGGTGTAACTTTTTTTTTTTAAGATTATTTATTTATACAAGCAGTGGGTACAGTCAGAAGCACGGGAGGGTGAGAGAATTCACCAGAGCAGGGAGCAGAACAGGCAGAAGGACCAAAGTACACTGCTGAGGGGAGCAGCGCATATGGCAGGAGAGGTCTGTTGCACCATGTGGGACCCTCGCTGGTGGCCGGGGATCGAACAGGCACTGCAGAGGCTGTGGGCAGCTTCGCAGTCCAGCGCTCAACTGCTGCGCCACTGGGGAGGCCCTGTGGGTGCAATTTTCCCCTAATGGAGTGAACCCCATTGAAATCCACAGGAGATGCATAAAGTTCCTGAGATAATTATTTCAACATAACACTGTCAACTCGGACTAAAATGCACAGAGTGCACAAAGTGACAGCAGTCTGTCAGAGCCCCAAATTTCCACAGCAGAAAGCAGGCTGATACAACATTCAACTTTATACATATATTGCTTTTTTTGGAAAGGGAAGGAAAATGAGCCCAGAGTGTTTTTTATATGCAAAATGAAAACCACCAGTTATTTCATGGCTCCCAAACATAATAAAGGATCTCTGATTTGACCAACTGAATTTCATATCTGCTCAGGATCAGTAACTCCTTTCTATTTCTGTTCCCCCCCTTTTAAAATTGAATATCAATAACTGTTATTCTATGCCTATCACAGCATTATATTTTGAGCATGTTGGGGGAAGATAACATATCTCTTTAGTTTTATAGGTACAAAAGTAGAGAGAAACTTTGACTTAAAAGCTGACTTATGGAATTATACCTAGGAGAATCCTCTGTATCCTGGTCTTATTTAGATAAGGTTTTGGATGTTGAACTGAGTTTATAGTGAAATGAGATTCTTACAAATTTTGAAAAGGGGTGTGTGTGTGTGTGTGTGTGTGTGTATTTTGAAGGTAATGGAGCAAAGTCTGGCGAGAGAATTTAAGGCACCCTCCCCACCCATAATGGCCACCTCTGGTTATTCATGTGTTTGCTTAGTCCCCTCTGCTTCAGTATGATGACACCTGAGACTTGCCACTGCCTAGTGGTAAGTAGGACAGTGACATAAGAGAGTGTAGTACCTGTCTATCTCTTCATGAACTAGGTTGATTTTTTTCCCTCATTCATCTTCATGAAAGCCTCATTTAAAAATATGCTTGTAAATATGCTTTTCTTCAACCCCATTCCTTCCTAACATTGAGAAGGCTTGCTGACAAGATCTATTACTAAATAGAACTTGAGGTGATATGAACATAACCTGGGGTTTGAGCAATGTCTGCATGTGAATTGCTTAATACTTTCCCTTCTTCTACTGTCCTTTTCCTCTCCCCTCTCATCAGAGGTCAAGAAGCACTGAAACAGAGAGGTTAGACACATTGTACATCTAACAAATTAGTAGGTAAAGATTTCCTTTGAAGTCTCTTTATTGAGTATACAGTATAGATTCAGTTTAGAGAGACTCTATACTGTCTTTCATGGCAAATTCATTCAATTTAGAAAAATAAGTAGCTCTATGCCAGGAATCTTGCATTCTCCAAAAGTGTGAAGAAAGTTACCACAGATCCAGTCTCAGAATTGAGCCTCTAGCACTAAATAGTTTTTGCCAAGAACCTGGTTACAAATGTTCTCTTAGCTATTTCTCCACATACTCACAATGAGTTGGGTAGTTGTGATGAAGAACATATGGCCCATGAAGCCTGACATATTTACTAGATGGCCCTTTACAGAAAAAGTTTTCTCTTTCTGAAATAGTTAGATAAAAAAATGAAAAAATGCTTATCGATTTAACTTGCTTACACACAGAATCACCAACTAGGTTTTTCCAAGTGCCTGCTGATCTATAACCTTTCAGCTTCAAAGACTTTGTACAAATTTGTTGTTTCTCTGCATTAACTGCAGGATATTAATTTCTGGGTAAAACTGGGTTATACCAAAGTCTGTGCTTAGGAATGAAGGATAACCTGTCACCTTTGGATCTAGATCTGGAGTTTGGAAATCCAGTTTTAGGAGTGATCCTTTGGTTTTCCAAAAATGGAATAAAGGAAATATTCTTTTCAATCCCAAATCTATCTACTTTCCTGCATTAAGTCCTCACATATTTAGATCTAAATAGCAAATAATTCCAAAAGACATAAGAGAAAATCAATATTAAAAAATTTGCTAAAGCTTTGCTTTTCACATTTATAGTATCTTGATCTTGGTATAGTCATGCATGTACAGTTGGCTCTTCAATATATAAATACTCACTACATATTCTCTTTCTTTTGGAATATCAAGCGTGTGGAAATGATGCCCACACATCTTTTGTTACTATGTGGGGAGCCAATCAAGCTCCTGCACAGACCTGAGGAAGAGCCAGCAAAACGGAGCATTGATCAAAAATTAACTGAAGACTCTGTTGTCATTGGACTTTTTCAATTGCATGAGATAACCATATCCAAAACAAAACAAACAAAAACCCCCAAGCCATACAAATTCATCTTTATAATTGTAACTATAGTTCTTACTGAACTAGACTGGTAATTGATTTCATAATGGAAAACAGGATGTTGTGAGTAAAAATGTGAAACAGGCTGAACTAAGGAAGGAGTTGCTAGACAATTGTCTTATATTGGGAGGTTAGCTTTTCTTTTTTGTATGTTGCTCCTTATTTGTAGTTTGCTGAAGGTTAGATTGTTTAACTTTGGGATATGGATTATGTGAAAAAGGTCAGAACGCTAAAGTGTGCTGAAGTCTTCTTTTAAGGTTCACTCATGTGCTATGATAAAGAGATATGCTTCATTGGAAATTAGGGTTCCTGCATATTGAGAGGAGAGAAAATATGCTTTGTTAAGGAATATCTTCTCTCTGCAGATTGTTATAAAAAAAAATGGCTTGACATCTGGCTACTTGGTTTCTTGTAAGGTTGGAAATGCCAAATTCCTAGGCCCTTGCTGAAATTAATATAAATAAAATTAGGGGGAGAGAGAATTTAGGGAGAGGCCACATTAGGGTACAAAGGGGCATAATTTCCCACTCTTCTCAATTCCTCTGTTGAATGTTCTCTGGCTATGAGAATCAGGTCCATCGCTACTGCTTTGGTGAAATATCTTGAATGCAGCCTGGGGGCAAAGAGCATTATATTCGCCTTGTAAATCATATGATTTTGGATGGCTACGATCATACTGAGGGCTAGGAGTATGAGAGAAACCAAATGGGCTGTAAGAAAACAGAAATGCCTCACCCAGGTTTGGGCTTAACCGCTCTTACCACATAACATCTGTGGCTTGAACTGCTTGTTATCAACTGGAAACAAATAGATAAAAATCTTTCTTAATTTTCTAAGAAAACAGTATTGTCAATAAAACCCCAAACTGGCTAAAAATAACCCATATCCGTTAACCCTACTTTGATCTTTTCCTGGGCTCTAAATTCACACTATCAGTAAGTTGACTGCTAAAGTTGTCAGCTCCCAAAGAAGCTATATCATTGTCCATTTTTGATGTGTCATTGTGGGGAACGGACAACGAAAGTCCCTCTCTCCCCTCACCCAGCATCTCTGGAGCTTTCTAAAAGCTTCTCTACTTGGGAATGATTAGAAAGGTCTGTTTACATCAGTGTGCTTTTTCTCCCCTAAGAGGATGGTTTTATTGCAACGATCCTGTTGTCCCTCCACTAGTAGATGCTGAATAGTGTATGGCATGGTGGAAAATTTCTGCATTAGCTAGAGTTACCTGAACCATTCTTCATGGAGAAAGTGGCCCACAATGAGACTCTGGTTTTGTGTTAGATATTGTAACAGGAAAGGATTTTCCTTTCACTCCCTTTGGGAGGGAGTGAGTATTTTCAAATAGGCACAAACATTTTAAATAGTGCGTCACTGGGTTGAGAGATATGTTTAGATGTTGAATGTTTTACCCAAAGGTATGAACTGCAGAGGGATCACTACTTAGTTATGTCCCTGGCTTCTATCTCCTTTCTCCTCATCTCACCAACAATCTGTAATTGGGAGCTTACTCTCTCTCTAAATCTTTTTACTTTAAGGAGTCAATACATTCCCTTTGCTGTTTCGTATTTCCAGTTGGATTTCATATTCGCTCCATAAAAGAGAAACAAATTTAAGACGACGATCTCTTAGAAATAAAAATGACCTCCCTTAGCTTTTGTCTCTTTCTAGATATCATTTTATTTTTTTCCTCTTTGCAGTGACAGTTGTTTAAAAATGTAGCTTGCCTGATCTCTGCCCTTTCCTCTTTTCTCGGTTTCTTGACAACCCACCGATTTCTGCTTTCCATTCTCATCATTGCACAAAACAGCTATTGACAAGGACATAAATAGTTTAATTATCAAATCAGTGACTCTATTTCTGTTCTTATTCAGTCTTTTCCCATTGGTGTCCATTGATACACATGTTCTCTCTTTTTTCCTCCTTTTCCTTCTTGACCTTTTAAAAGTCCTTCACGGGCCTCCCCGGTGGCGCAGCGGTTGAGCGCTGGGTTGCGAAGCTGCTCGCGGCCTCTGCGGCGCCAGTTCGATCCCTAGCTGCTCCCCGGCCACCAGAGGAGGGTCCCACATGGCGTGCAGACCTCTCCTGCCGCCCGCTGCTCCCCTCAGCAGTGTACTTCAGTCCTTCTGCCTGCTCTGCTTCCCGCTCTGGCTCTGGTGAATTCTCTCACCCTCCCGCGCTTCTGACTGTACCCAGTGCATGTATAAACAAAACAAACAAACAAATAAATAAATAAATAAATAAAACATGCCTCTATTTAAAAAATAAATAAATAAATAAATAAAAGTCCTTCACTCATCTCTATCCCCCCCCCCGCCCCGCCCCGACACCATTTTAAATATAAAACAACTTCCGCTCAATGTTTTTGATCTCTCTTTTCCTGCCTATCTATTCCAAGGTTTTATTGATGTTATTTCCCATTCATTATCCATTCCTTTAAATTTTAACACAGTAAAGCTTCCTATATATCCATTTATAAATTAAAAGTATTTTCCTAAATTTGTGGCACTCCCCAGGACTCCTCTGCCTTCCATCTGCTTGGTTCTTACCTAAACTCTTGCCTCTATGACTTGAACCTGTATTTTAATCTTTGAACACACAACTTGAAATTCTCACTTTTGCTTTATCTGAATCCTAGCTAGTCCTGTGAATTTACACGTGGCTTATTTTCTCACCTTTCCCTGCTGTATTGGTTAGAAATTCCCTGTTATATTATGTGGTTTCATAACTGTAGGCCATTTTCATTTCACACACTCCATGTCTTCAACCAGTTATATTGGTTTGGCTATATTGGTTCTCTCACTTTTCCCTGTTGTATTGGTTAGGAATTCCCAGCAGTAATAGTCAAGGTTCTCCAGAGAAACAGAACCAACAGTTTCTCTCTCTCTGTATTACATCTATCTCCATATATTATATACAGTAATCACTAATAAATGTTATTAGGGCTTGCCTTCTAAAATTATGAGAAGGGAAAAAATAATTAGAAAATTAAAAAAAACAAAATTATGAGAAGGGAAACTCTCACGAATTTCTGTCCATAAGCTGGAAGTCCAAGAAAATTAGTGGCATAGTTCCAGTTGAAACCTGAAGACCTGAGAACTGGGAGAGGTTGAATCCAATGTTTTGAGCACCAGGAGAATGTGCCCCAGGAGAAGAGGGTTGTTCCAGCTCAAGCAGAAAGCAAGGTTGCACTTCTGCTTCATATTCATTCTACTGAGGTCCTCAATGAATCGGGTAATGCCCACCTGTGTTGGTGACCATGATATCTAGTCAGTTAATTAATTCATATTCTGATCTCTTCTGAAAACAACCCCACTGATACAGGTGGAAAAAAAAAAGTTTTACCAGCTATTTTGGTATTTATTAGCCTGGTGAAAGTGACACATAAGACTAACCATCTGAAGTACATAGAAAACAACCCTTATTTCTTCCCTTATTCCAAAACAAGGAAAAGAAACAAGAATTGAATAGACATTCCTTTTCCTTTTTAGCAACTGTTGCATATCAATTAAAGTTGGAGTAACATTTAAATCCTAGGAGTTACTGGGAACCAACAGGAAAAAAATGTGGTTTCATAACTGTAGGAAATTTTTATTTCAACACAGTCCATATCTTAAACCAGTTATATTGGTTTGATTTGAGACATGGAGAGCAAAAATAAGGTTAAAAGTCTAGGGAGGTTTTGGAGCCTCTACTGGTCATGAACATCGTGATTGGATGGCTAGTTAGGGCTCTGTGTCTTCAAGACTCAAACACTTTGAGTGGTTCGAGAAGGAGTGGAGATACCCCACACTTATGAAATCTATGCAGGACTCTTAGCCATAGGTAATTAGTCTCTTCATTGTGGTGCTTTAGAGATATTCCCTTTGAGAGAACTGGTATAAAGATAGAAGGGTTTATTATTTTCAAAGCTTATGAGTGGAAGCTTCCAGCAATGAATGTGGGGCCTGGACCTTGGGTTAGAAAGCTGAGGCAGGTAATAATTATTTGACATTGTTGTGCACCACAAAGGAGCGTCCAAAGATAAGAAAATGATTTTCAAGTGGCTCTAAATGTCCAAGAAAGATAGAGTAATTAAAGTCAAACCATCTCATCAGGAAAGGAACTGTGGTCCAGAATGTGGTGATTTATTTTCTAGGCTTCTCTTTCTAAGCTCATCTCTTAAATCATGGCATTCTCCAGATGTCCACCCTCACCCCACTTCTTTCATTTTGTGAACTCTTCCAGAGTGAGCTCATTTCCTCTTGTGATTTCAGTTCCTGATGACTTCAATTCTCTATCTTTATCCTTGACATTTTCCCACAGATTCATACTTCTATCCATCTGTCTACTCTGTGCCTCCCATAACATCATCTTAAAGTCTCAACCTCTACTTTTATTATCCCCAACACCACAAATCTGTCCCTCTCCCCATCTGACCAACTCCTTCATTGTTATTATTTCTCTGGTCTTTGTTTTGTTTGTGGGTATAGCACAGTACTAATAGCAATCTAACTGTGCTGTAATTAATGACACCCAGTCTACAAATCCATCCTCATGCTCTTTCTTATTATAGTCTCCAGTTAATTTCTAAGGATATTAACTTCTAGTTGTGCTCCCATTCTTCCCCTCTCCATCATGATACCCTTGGTTTAATCCAAATCACTACCTTCTTTTATTCCAAATGATCACAACCACCTCCTAACTGGCGTGTGTCAGTCAGAATTTTCACTGTAAGAAATTGAGAAGGATTTGGGCTAGTTCAAGCTGAAGAAAATGTTTCGTAGAATTTGGAACATTTACAGAACCAAGAGACTAGGTGAAGAAACAGATTCAGAACGTGTCGGGAAACCAGTGGAGTCTAGTCGGCTGGAGCTCAGTGAGGTATTGTGTCAGAACAATCTGTGTAGGAGGCCACAGCCAGTGTGGGCTCTGCTTAAAAAAAGGAGCCTTCTCATCATTGCCCAACTAACAGTCTAGTCCTTGGACAGTGCTGAGGCTGAGGGCTGCAGCTAAATGTCTCTTTGCATTAAATGTTCTCCAGGGTCTAAGTCCTGTGTGCAAGTACCAGATTGTAGAAACAAAACTGTATGCACATGCCTTAGGTGTTAGAACATGGGGAGGAAAAAAAAATAGTCCTCTGTTGGTTGCTGTGGTGCAAAGGGAGCTCTGTCTCCCCAAGCTTCACATGGTAGGGCATTTCTTGTAAATCAAAAATACTGAAAAAATAGATAGCAAAAATAATAACAAAAAGAAATGCTCAGTAAGTGGCCTCTTCTAGTCATTTTTCTCTCCAGTCAGTCTACCTTGGATTAATCTAGGGAGCACAGTAGTCAGGGGTACTTGTGAGAAAGTGGGCTGCAGAGACCCAGGCACACAATTATGGTCTCTTTTTTTTTTTTTTTTTTTTTTTTTGGTGGGACCCTCGCCAGCGGCTGGGGAACGAACTGGCACTGCAGAGGCTGTGGGCAGCCTCGCAACCCAGCGCTCAACTGCTGCACCACCAGGGGAGGCCCCAATTATGGCCTCTTAAAGTGAGGTTGTAACAGAGGTGTGTGTGGGATGGACTGCTCTAGACACCTCTAGAATCAAGAGGGGATTTGCGATTTACAGATATGTGGGATGAGATGAGAGAAAAAAATACAGGTTGACATTGAGATTTCTTTCTTGAGATTCTTTTAACTTGGGGTGTATTTAATTTCTGGGCTTGTAGAATGGTTGTGAAGATGTTGTTTAAATAGATGGATATGTGAAACTGGATTCAGAGGACAGAGCATAACTGGAGATGTAGTTTTTGAAACTGACAAAATGATACTTAGAATGGGCAGCGCTATTGTGGATCCCCCCAGGAGGTTCAGAACCTTAGGTTCAGTCTCCCAGATGCCTGGCTGTAGAAGGCACCCCGAGACGTATAGACCACGTCACTTTAGTTCTTTAAAACATAGCAACAGTTGCCTTCACTCTTGCTGCTTTGGGTGATGCGTCTTCAAGGATGTTACTGAGGTGCATGTCATGAAGTGTTTCACCTATATTTCCTTCTATGTATTTTATGGTTTCAGGTATTATGTCTAGTTCTATAAAGTAAAAATCAAAATCAACAAGCAACTCTAAATCAGAGACACACTAACGGAGTGGGGGGGTTGGGAGAAGGGAGTAGGATCGAAATAAGTGTGGTGGGAATTGTATGGGGACTATAACCAAAATGAAAATGTATACATTGTGCAAAAATGAAAAATTATGTTAAAAATATATAAAATTAAAAAAAAAGAAAATATAGCACCTGGCGCATGGCTGCTTTTGTGTTAAAATTAATGCTGCCAAACTCTCGGTGGTTTCAATATGCTTCTACTGTGTTTTTCTGTTCTGGGGGTCTCTCATTTCCGAAGATATTGTCCTTTACCCCACATCAGCCACTCACTATATTGTCAGACCCTGAATTGGTGTTTTTTTTTTTTTTTTAAGATTGATTTATTTATGCATACAAGAGCTGAGGTACAGGCCAGAGATGTGGGGGGTAAGAGGATTCACCAAAGACAGAGTGGGGAACAGAACAGGCAGACAGACAGAAGTACACTGCTGAGGGGAGCAGTACATGAGACAGGAGAGGTCTGCTGTGCCATGTGGGTAGCTCCCTGGCTGGCCGGGGATCAAACCCGTGCTGCAGAGGCTGCAGATTGCTTCATAGTGCGGTGCTTAACCCCTCAAGCCACCAGGGAGGCCCTGAATTGGTGTTTTTTTTTTTGATTTTCATCTGTTAGTAGGACCTGAAATCAATGAAGTTGTCATAAACAGGAAGTCTTTGACATGAAATGTACTAGAAACCATCAGCAGGCTTAGAATACGGTAAGTTTACAAACTGGTTTATGTATCGATCCTATTGAAATATAGAATTTAATTTTTTTCACATATTGTAAAGGAAAAAAGGTAGATAAAAAGCAAGAGGACAAGTTTGCATGTGGTTATTTTAAATTTTTAGTGATTTTAAAAAGCAAGATCTTCAGAAATGGCACAAAGACACGAACACTGTTTCTGAGTAGGCAAGTGAGAATAGAAGCTAGTACACAAAATATTTTCACTCTTCTCTGTTTCTACATTATGATCAATTTTCCCTGTCTTCTCTCATCCACATACAAAGATCGTATAAAATCCTCTGTCTGGAAAAAGATGGTATAAAATCTCCTGTCTGCAGAGCCTACTCTAACTGCTTCATTTCTGTTTCATGTTGTAGGAAGTTCTCTTCACAATTTTTGGGGTACCCATTTTTTCCTTTCTTTGCAGCTTTTGGTGCTCATTACAGTCATATTCTCATGCTCATCTCTCTGTGGGAACTGGTGTTTTAAAATTGTATTTTTTTTTAAGTGAGGCAATGTTGCTTTATAGCACTGTGTATGATTTAGGGGTATAGGTTCTCACCTCTTCAGATGGATGTAACCGACCACCAGAGTACCCATAGTCCCCCTTTACCACTTCCCACCTTTACTCCCCAGCCTTTTCCCCTCCACTTCCCCAGCTTCGAGTCTACAATTTCTAGGACTTATCTTGGGTTGGTTTTGCCTGGCCCTTTGTTTTGTTCCTCCATTTCACACATAAGTGAAATCATCTGTATTTGTCTTTTTTCCTTCTGACACATTTTGTTTATATAATCCCTCCAGTTCCATCCATGTTGTTGAAAATGGCAAAATTTAATTTTTTTGGTAACTGAATACTATTCCATTGTGTATACATACCATATCTCCGCAATCCACTCATCTGTCTTAGGCACGTAGGTTGTTTCCATTCTTTGTCTATGGTAATAGTGCTGCAATGAACACAGGATTGCAAATATCTCTTTGCATTAGTGTTTTGTATTCTTTGGATAGATACCTTGGGGTGGAATTGCTGGATCATACGGTAGATCTATTTTTAATAGTTGAAAAACCTCCATACTGTTTTCCGTAGAGTTGGACCAGTCTACATTCCAATCAACTGTGTACAATGATTCATTTTTCTCTATACCCTTGCAACAGACCTTTCTGGTCTTTTTGAATCGGGCCATTCTCACTGACGAAAGGCAGTATCTCATTGTGGCTTTGATTTGCATTTCCCTGATCATAAGTGACCATTTTTTTTCATGTGCTGAAACTGTTCTCATTAAAGTGACAGAGACCTCTGTTTTATAAACCCAGTGACCATTTGACTTTGATTCTTTGACATTGATCAGCATATTCTTTTTGACACTCTTTCCGTTTGGACTCTGATTATTTCCATTCTCTTCACACTTCACTGGCCACTTATCTGTAGCATTTTTCAATGTTAACCACTTCCTCCTGCTTAAAATAGTTACTTCCTGTGGCTGCGTTGACATCAGTTCGTCTCTTTTATTTGCCTCCTCTTTGGCGATTACTCAGTTTTCTTTATAAAATTCTCTTATTTTTATTTCCTATACCTTCAAATATTGTGACTCCTTCAGCAATCCCTGCTTAGATATTTATCCAGTTTTTATTTATTTATTCAAATATAGAGTAATAGTTTAGCATGGATGGACATTATCATAAATATTTGGGAGTAGCAGTGAAGTATATAGAGTTTGTTTACATGAAATAGGATCTTGTGAGAGAAAACGGAAAATAGACATTGAGCAAAAAGCCTAGAGGTAAATGGGGTAAAGGAAAATAAAGCATATCGAGAGAGTACAGTATAACCTTATTGGGGGCAGTTTAATGTAGGGGTCAGGGAAGGTTTTGAAAGGAGTCAGGGAGGTGACAGTTTTTAATTTGGAGAGGGACAGTTTAGAAAATGAAACAGGAATGCACAAGGAACCTCAAGTAGGAGGCTGTCTTCTTTGTACAAGAAACAACCAGGAAACCAGTGTTTCCAGATTGGAGAGAGAGAAGACTGGTAGAGTAGGGACTGAGGTGGGAAACAGGAGAACCATTTCAAGGAAAGCCAGTGAGCCATGATAAAACCTTCAGATTTTATCTTAGTAATCTGCAAAATCAGAACAGAATTTTGATGAACAAGAACCTATATCTTGAGGTTGTTAAGGAAAGACTGAATTACTTTAGGGAAGTTTGGGGTTTGGGGAGGTAAGAGTGAAGCAGTGAGACCCATGAAATGGTTATTGAAATTGGTTCTATGAAAAGGGATGACAATTTGCACTGAAGTGGCAGTAGAAAAGATGAGGAATACGGGTAAAATTCTAGAATTTTTTTAATGATTTTTTTATTTATGCATACAAGAACTGGGATACAGGCCAGAGGTGTGGGGGGGGGGTGAGAGGATTCACCAGAGACAGAGTGGGGAACAGAACAGGCAGACTGACTGAAGTACACTGCTGAGGGGAGCAGCGGGTGAGTCAGGAGAGGTCTGCTGTGCCATGTGGGTAGCTCTCTGGCTGGGGATCAAACTCATGCTGTGAAGTCTGTGGATAGCTTCATAGGTTGCGTCTTAACCCCTTTTGCCACCAAGGAGGCCCAATTCTAGATATTCTTCAGTGACAGAGTTGACAGGTTTTCTTGGTGCTTCGGATGTGAAGCTTGAGAATAAAAGTCAGGGATAACTCTCAATTTTTGAGCAGTTGGTAGAATGGAGCTGTCATTAACTGAGATAGTTTGACTGGGGACAAGTAGGTTGGGGTTAGGTGTAGGGGTTGTTGAAAATTTGTTTTTGCTCATTTTAAGTTTGGCCTTTCTGTTGGAACCCATGTGTATATATCAAGTAAACAGGTAGGTATAGCATCCTGGGGCTTAAGGGAGAAATCTAGGCTGGAAATACATATTTGTATATTGTCAGATGATAATTGAAGTTAATGAACTAGGTGAGAATTAAGAATCACCTAGGAGGGCATCCCCAGTGGTGCAGTGGTTGAATGCTGGGCTGCGAAGCTGCCCGCAGCCTCTGCAGTGCCAGTTCTATCCCCAGCCACCGGTGAGGGTCCCACAGGGTGCGCAGACCTCTCCTGCCACCCACTGCTCCCCTCAGCAGTGTAGTCAGTCCACTCTGGCTCTGGTGAATTCTCTCACCCTCCTGCATTTCTGACTGTACCCAGTGCTTGTATAAATAAGTAAATCTTAAAAAAAAAAAAAAAAAAGTAGAATCACTTAGGGTAAGCATGTGAGTTATGTCCTAAAAATGTCAGAGTCATCATCCTTGTACTTGTTTCTTCTACCAGGATGCTCCTCTGAGCTAGGACTTTTTTTTTTTAAATAAACTTTTATTTAAAAAATTATTTTCTTACGTCATTGTTCATTTATGTGCAGTATTTGCTTTCTCTGCTCAGGTATAGTCCCCATAGTTCACCACCACCATAGCACCCATGGCCATCATCATCATCATCATAGTCCCTTGTGTTCTTCCTTCCCCTGTTTTTGACCTTCTCCCTACTGCTCCCCTGCTGTATGCCCCACATTAAAGTTCAGCTTCCAAGTTTTGTCTTTTTCCTGACCCCTTGTTCCATTTCACTGTATTCCATCTATATGTGAAACCATCCGTTATTTTGCTTTTTCCTTTCTGACTTATTTAGCTTAGGATAATCCCTTCCAGCTCCATCCATGTTAGTGCAAATGGCATGAGTCTGTCTTTTTTTTTATCGCTGAGTAGTATTACATTGTGTGTATATAGTAGCATCTACTTGATTCATTCATCTGTTTGGGGGCATTTAGGTTGTTTCCACATCTTAGCTATTGTACATAATGCTGCCATAATCATAGGAGTAGCTTTCTTTGCTTATAGTTTACCTTGGTTGCTGTGTTGAGACACAGTAGCATCAATCCCATTAAGTGTAGTATCAGTGTGGAACCCTCAAATGCACTAATACTGAGTACCATTGGTGATAGACTACCAGGAACTTTCTAGTTCAGGAGAAAGTTATATAACTTTAGCTGCAAAGAAGAAAGAGTTTCCTCTACAATATTACTTTGTCATGGAGCATTGCTAAATCTTTCCGAGCTAAGACATAAGTGGGAGGAAGAAAATCTTGAACAACACAACACCATACTGGAGGCTCCCTAGGACACCAAGCTTTTTGTCACAATGCTTGCAGGATTGTCAGGCCAGGCTAAACTCTTGGTGGAAAAGCTTCTCCAGCTCCCGAGTAGAGCTTTTCATTATACCAAATGAAAATCACTTAAAGAATGTGCTAGAATTGGAATTACATACTTTTAGTCTTCATTTTGGTTTGTGGTAACATTGAATTTCCCCTGACTGCTGCTCCTGTGTTGCTTTTGGCTGACATCCCATCTGAGGTCATGTGCCTCCTGGATTCTGGCAGGTGGTGTAAGGGGCCAGTTTTACACATGTATAGCAGCACTCAATGCTGATAGCTGAGACTTTCTCAACTACTCACGATGTTTTCTACATTTCCTTTCTCCATGGTTATCATCTTAGATCAAGATGTTGGTGTGCTTTCATAGTCCCTGAACATTTTTTCCCCTCACTTTCTCCCCACCAAATTGTTTCCATAAAAGTTGTCTTTAAAAGCACACATCTGATCATGTTGCTCCCCTGTTGCCAGTGATTTGTCATTATTCTTTGGAGAAAGTCAACAATTTTCACCATAGCCTAGAAGGTTCAACATATCACCTCTATACTTCCCCAGACTCTCTCTCTCTCTCTCTCTCTCTCTCTCTCTCTCTTTCTCACTCTCAATGTGCACATGTGTGTGTGCGCATGTGCACGCCAGTTAACACTTTTCACCTAGTTTCTCAGAAACTCCATACTTTTCCCAGCCTCAGGACCTTATAATGAAATTCTCTTTGCTTCCTATGTTCTAAGCATGCCTTCTCATCATTTAATGCCTTGGCCTCAGCTAAATTTCAAATCTTCATGTCTCCATCACACATTTTCCCCTCAAGTTCACACTAGCAAAGTTCCCATCTTGACTGTTCATTATCTGATTACTATCAATCTGAAAATCCAGGCATTCATTAAAAGACAAAACATGTTTATTTGGGATCAAAGAATTGAAGTTCAGGGTACACAAATTTAGGTAAAAAACCTAAAACATGCCTTAAGAAGGGACAAACTTAGGGGATTTTAATGGGAGGAAAAGAGGAAAATGAGGTTGAGGTTAAAGAAAAGAACTGATTAGTGTTAAGAAGTGTAAACTATTCTTGCTTTTACATAATTGGTTACTGATTCTCTAGAAAGCGTGAAAAAGAAGATGGAGTCTATCCTCTGGTAAAATGACCAAAATCATCAATTCTTAAAGAATCGTTTGTTTGATGGTTTCTTAAAGCCATGGATTTTGGCCCAGTTTGAAGGTCTTGAAGATAGTTCAAGGGAGACAGGTAGTGCCATTGCTCTGTAATGGTTTCCCGGCTGTATTTGAAATAGCTTCACATATGTCAATTTTTCACATCGTGAGTATTCTATCCATTATTATTTGCTAAACATCTGTCTTGACACACAAGACCTAAGGTCCATGAGGAAATGGGCAGCATTGGCCTCTGCACTGCTGTGTCCTCAGTGCTCAGGACACTTACAACCTGGCACAGGGCAGGTGCCCAACAGGTAACTGCTGAACACATGGGTGAGGCAAAAGATCCTGCCTTGACAGTTACCAGGCCAGACATCACACGTGGTTGCTTTCAGGTTTCTATTTTTTCCATGATACATCTCAATTATTTAATCCTCTGATTTCTCAGGTACTTAGTTTGGTTGGAAAGGTATTAATAACAGAGTTCTGTTTGCATTAAGGGATCAAACTCATATTTGCCACAGAGAGGAAGGGACAGCTTTACAACCAAGCAAATGACATTTGTTTCTCAGCACTAAACTTTGGCAAGAAATGTTCTCTGCTAATTTGAGTGACCAAGAATTTAAGCAATTTCCGCTGAAGAAAATGATCCTTTTGAGAGCATGAAGAAATATTGTATTCTCTTCACCTAAACTGAATTTTTTTACCAGACTCCATTTCTCCTTGCACCTGAGGTTTTTTTCTCATAGAGCCAATTCTCTGCTTTGTATAAACCTCTTATATTCGAAACTTTGCCTTTCAAATGCACGATGTCCTAGGATGTGTATATTGAACGACCAGAAATAACTCAGTGACATATTCTTCTTGCTTATTTCATACATATTTCCAACTTATGACTCACTGGTTTAAAGAGGACAAATGTGAACTAAGAACAAAACAGAGGACTTGATGTACTTGTGCCTGAGAGGAAGATGAATCAGCTCGCTGGCACCACGGCCCTGTCAGGGCTGCTTGCCGCATGGGTTTGAATGACCCCCACTGTCCCCATCCTGGCCCTGTGCACAACCTCACATGCAACTTCATACAAACACACCTTCAAGGCAACGCTCACGTCTTACTTTCGAAGCCCCGTGGAACTATTTTAGGCTGGAAGGCGTGCACACAATAAAGTGACTCCTTGGAGGCTACAACTTGATCTATGCACACGTCAGAGGGACTCAGAATGTTAGCAGTGGCATTTTCATTTTCAGTTTTCAAAGAGTTTTATTTTCCTCTCTCCTTTCACCATCTGTTTTTCTTACTGTAGCAAAGGCCATTTCCTATGCAGTTTAATAGGATATGAAATGAGATTGTTTTACAGTGAATTTTGATGTAGTTTTATGATTTTCCTGAGTAGTAGTTTTTCTCCCTCTTCCTCTCCCCTCTCCTCCCTTCTGTCTGTCTTTCTGCTTTCTCTCCTCCATCTTTTAAACCCTCTCTCCTTGCCTCCTCCTCCTTTCCAGCTTTCCATTTTTCTCAGAAAAAAATGGAGCTAGCTATGACATGACACTAGTTACATCAACATTAAAATAACTCCTATCGACTTGCTCCTAAATCTTGGACTAAAATATGTAACAAGACAACGTTCCTAAATAGATAAACTAAAAAAATTCATTTGTAACAAAAATTCCAACATGGCATCAGGGCATGCACACCGAAGGGACAAGCTAAGGATATTGGTTTCTGGTGGTGCTGTGTAAAATAGGTAAAATCCTGTTTAAAGGTTCTTCACTTTTGTTGGTTTGTGTGTAAAAGGAGAATGTCAAGTAGAGGGAACTACGAGAGGTAAAATGCAGGAAGCAAGTAGGAGCACATTTATGTCATCACCACATCAATTTACTTCATTCTCACCAACACGGCATGTAGTTATTATATATGGGAAAACTGGAGCAAGAAGTCAAGGTCACACATACTAGGTACATATGTCAAGGGACCTTGCACCAAAGGATTATGTACTCTGTTCTTTCCATATCAACTGAGGCACAAGGAGGAGAGACTTTTTTTTTTGGTGAAACATTAAAATCAGGTTCATGGTCTAACTTGAGGGACAAAGGAACCCAAAGAGCTTTTGAAAGTGCCTCTCTCTTTTACAAGGGGAAGAACTCCTGAAGGCAGGGCATGGTTTGCTTGAGAAGGTGGCATAATGGAGAGTGGTAGAGAGAACAGAGAGCCCGGTATGTTTGGAGAATGAGATGTGATCTCTGGGCTGTATGGATGTGGGCTGAGCTCCCGAGGAGAGACATTGGGAAGGCTGTGGCAGAAAACTTCCCATTGTCTTAACTCTTTCTTTTCCATGGCTGAGTTGATGAACAGTTGCTTCCTCTGCGGGAGAATGAGTGTTAAGATGGGAGGATGAGACTCCATCTGTGAGAATGGCTCACTTGTGGAGATGTTGGGAGGAACAAAGTCATGGGATGATGCTGTCTGACACGTACTCATCCTGCGCTTCTCAGGGGGGGGATTAGATAGAAGAAGGACTCATATCCTGGAGATGTGTTTTAGGGTCAACATTACCCTTTTCTTTGTGACAACTTCTGTCTTTAGACTCTCTCTTCCAACAGGGCCTTTGTCAGATGCAGCTGAACAATGGAGTTAATTTCTTGGGTTTAGGATTCTGCTATGTTCTGTGGCTTCTCTTCTGTTCACACAGAGTCTGATTTTGCTTCCAGACTCTATATTAGATCACCTTCTTAAATTTAAATTTCTTAAAATTTTGCCACAACTTCAGGAGTGGCGATTTTGGGAATGCTCTTTCACTCAGAGTAACATGACTTTCATTTAAATAACTCAGAAATCTTGACAAGTATATTTTTCAGTTTGTCTTTAGAATTAATTGCTATACTCCATGTAATTTTTTTTAAGATTTATTTTTTATTTATACAATAGCTGGGGTACAGGCCAGAGGCACAGAGGGGTGAGAAGATTCACCAGAGACAGAGCAGAGAGCAGAACAGGCAGACGACCAAAAGCACTGCTGAGGGGAGCAGTGGGCAAGACAGGAGAGGTCTGCCACGCCATGTGGGAATCTCCCTGGCCAGCTGGGAATCAAACCCGGCTACTGAGGCGGCGGACAGCTTCACAGCCCTGTGCTCAACCCGCTGTGCCACTGGGGAGGCCCTACTCCATGTAATTTTAGGTGGGACTTTTACCCTTGCTTTTTTTTGGGGGGGGGGGCACACTGTGTATTGACTCACCAACTGTTGGAAGCCCCACACAGACCAAAGCTACTTGGTATATGGAGTATCTGAGAGGGGAAAAGGAAAGTAAATTTTCTTTTCTTGGTTTTAGATCCCAATATGAAAAGAATCAGAAAAATAGTTTGTTACACATTTTAAAGATATTCAATTTTATTTTTCTCAACTGGGAGATAAGCATACCCATAAAATTGGTTACTTGTTACTCTGTGGAGTAAGATTAGAGAGATTGGCTCTACCAGCTGTACCCCCACACAGAACAGTGGGTGAAAGAACAGCAATTCACCTCAACCCCTACCAATGGATTGAACATATCCTATATGCACATGGTGTAAATAATATCTCTTTGATTCAACTAGATGAATGGATCAAAAGAAGGGAGTTCATTGGATGCTGGGGGTAGTTTACATAATCACAAGGAAAGTGTTAGAGATTAGACCTTACTGGTTGAGACTGAGGTTTAATATGGGACGATTCCTCCCCTCTCACCTTCCCTCCACACCCCTCCTGAAGTTCTCCGCTCTGCCCATTTTCTCTCCCCTCCCCCCCCTCTCTCTCTCTCTTTCTCTTACACACACACACGCGCGCGCGCGTGCCTGCGCACGTTTGAGTTCATATGCACTCCCCAAGTGGCAGAAACTTTTTAGGCTCCTGCCCAGCCTAGGTCATATTGACCCAGATTGGCCAGTCTGGTAGAAAGAGAACTTCTCTTCCCAAATTCATGTCAATCCCAGGTGAAACCTTTGATTCGCTTGCTTGGGTGACATGTCCATTCCTGTACTGGGTAAAATGGAATTCAAGGCAATTGGGAGTTGAGGGGAATCTACTATAAGAATACTAGACAGTTCCTGTATCAAGTTACTAGTTCATTAAACAAAGTTTTAATACACATGGAGAAAATTAGAAATGATTTTAAAATGCCCATTTTATCTATTTTATATTTTCCATTCCATAAAATTTGGTCTCTATATATGGAAGTCCTATAAAAATGCGGAGTTCCTATTCCACAAGATAAAAGCTTGGCTCCTTGGGGTTCTGAGGATTCAAGCTTTTGTCATGAGTATGAACTCCATAAAAATTCTGAAGCTACATATTAGATAATTTTGTGTTTGAAACAATGTGCAAATTTGGTTGGTTTTACTTTCCATTATTTTTCCAGCCAGTATAATTAAGAATTGTTGCTGTGTCCAGGAAAGAGATTCTTCTATTGGATTATTAATCTCTGTCATTAACCCACATAGGAAACAAAGTAGAAATCAGTCTTCTTCAAAATGAGTGTTTTATAGATGTGGGTGAGACCCATGGGGAGGTGACCATGGCGGTTTTTGTCTTGATTTTGATTTTGCTCTTTTCCTTCCAGACTTGTCTGATGGTTTCTGATCCTTTTCTGTGGGTTCCCACTGGAAGATGATTTAGACTTATGGGAGGCTTTGGGGCCTTGCTCTGGGCCAATCCTGCTTGGGTGGACTTTTACCCTCGAGGGGATGGGTAACATTGGGTGCTTGATTTAGAAACTCTATTCTTTGTCTTTTCTGTATTGTTTCCTAATTGTATTAAAGTTCCTTCCCATTAAAAAAAAAAAATGAGTGTTTTAAATAAACGTATATAAACCCTGTAATTTATATACAGCCCACTCTTTTTTGAAGTACATTCTTTTCGCTCTCCCAGTGGTTCAGAGATTAAAGGCAGGGAAGAAATACTGTTCATTGCAGGGTGCTGGGCTCAGGTTGTAGAACAGACGGGAAGAGTCCAGCTCATGGATCACTGCAGGTGGGAGGACAGTGACTGCGCAAAAGTAAATAAATGTATGATGCACAAGCCTGGATGACAGAAGTACAGTATTCAGACAAAGTTAGCTCATGTTATTTGTCCTAGTATTTGAACTTTATATAATATATGAACACTTTGGACTATGGTTTCAGAAGTTTCATTTGCCTATTGTGGGTTTTTTTTATTATATCTTGATGTAAGTCTTCACATATGTAGGCACAGGTGTATGTGTTTATGTACATATTTATATAGGCCATCCTATGCTTTATTAGTATAGAGTTATCAAGGAACTATATGCTGCTGCATAGCTTTTAGAGAAAACTATTTTATATAGTTTTCTCTTTTGGCTTTTCAAATAGGTCCTTGCTGGAGATCAGTGTTTACCTGCTAAAGAGGAATAGTTGTCTAAATCTGTTTTTTGAAGAGTAGTCTGTGCCACCAGAAGTAACCTCTCAGCATAATCTCAGGCTCCATTTCAGATCTACTGAATCAGAATTGACATTTTCATGGGATCTACCAGTAATCTGAATTGTCACGGGGATTTGAATAAAGAAACAATTGTAGTGAAGGCTATTCTGGAAGGAAGTCTTAGAGGCAGCAAGGCATTTAGGATTTTAAGTTCTCTGATGATGGGTCTGGAAGGTTTTAAACTTCTGAATAGGGAAAGCCAAGTAATATTTAGGAAGAACAATGCAACTCCAATTTGCAGGTTCAGCATGGTTGGGGAAAGTGGAAGCACTGAGGATAATTAGGAAAAGGTCACCTTTAACTGATCTTGGTGATATTGGTCTGATATAAGCCCTTGGCCATGGGGATGGCCATGGAAGGACTCTATGAGACATTCTGAATGAGTTCATTTACGCTAACAATTTAAATACTGTTGGGAAGAATTAATGTTACTTTGGAAAATGAAACAAGTGCTTATTCTTTGAGTCTGGAGGCATGGAGATAGAATGCAGAGGATCTAAGAGCAGTGGGGAACTAGGAAGAAAGAATGTAGATGTGAAGTCTAGTGCTCTGTTTTTCGGGTTTGTACTCCATTCAGTTTAATAAATGATCCACCCTGGGTCTGCCACTGTCACTGTAGCTAAAAATACATATTTTAAAAAATGAGAATGGGGAGGGCATCTACATAGCTTCTAAGAAATTGACTTTACCCCATATGACTATAAATTATATAGAGTTTCGACTTAGATTTCTGTCATACAAAGATCAACCTAGAGATCTGTGTTCGGAGCCAGAACCATTTAATGACCACTGACTATATAATAGTGCAATTTCTCAAAATTAAAAAAAAAATCCTGAAAGAATTTAGTACCATTATGATCAAACAGAAAAATAGTTTTGAGAAAGTTCATGTTTGACAATTGCTGTTTTCTTCCATGAAAACACTCAAGATTAGCCCTTAAATTCATTGTATCATTACAGCAGACCCAAGAGATTAATATAAAAATGTGTATATTGCTCTTGTCCCATTTAGCTCAAAGAATTTAAAGGGTAAGACAACAGAAGCTAGGATTTCCCTGATAGAACATTCTAAAAGTCATTCTAAGGAAAATACCTTTAGTTTGTGACGTTTTTTGCATTCGTGGTTAAAGTATGCTTTTGCATTCAGCAACGGATATGGCAGAGTCTACTCACAAAAGCAAAAGCAAAACCAAATAACTCCCCCTTTCACAGCAGAGCCCACCTTATTGTTCCTTCCCAGATTGTTCCCATTCACTCAAAAATAAGCTTGAGTTCCTGCCTTGCAGGGATAACTACAAAGTACAGTCGGATGTAGGAGCTGCTTAATCAGGTCTGGGAACCAGGTCTTAATTAGAATGCTTGGAAAAGAAGAGCAAATGAAAATTATTAAGCTCCATTCTTGATTCCTGTTTCTAATTTTAAAAAGGAAATCATGCATTAATCAAGCTCTGTGTTAGAGCTCAGAGGCACTTTTTCAAAATATCCCAAAATAACAAGGGGAAAATTTTTGCTCTGTTTTGATAAAATGACCCTTGACTACTTGCTGTGTATAGCATAACATATTTCAATATGTACCCTTAAATTTGGGTTATGTTAATTGTTTTTCTGGGCTCCAGGTATAGCATGAAAATCAAGGTTAGGCATGTGTTCCCTGAAAAAATAAAACAGAAATGTGCAGAAGCCATTTCCAGAGGTGAATGAAAGTTAAATGATAGAAGAGAAGAATATAAATCTTCAAAGAACTACACAAGCATTTGATTTCTGATGCGCAGAAAATATATTTTGTAGCCACATTTTTTGGTGATACAGATTCTGAATCAATGATAATACCATATTGCAACAAAGCAATTTATACTTAAGAAAGAAATAGTAGTTTTCTGCTGTCACACTAACAATCACTATTTTCTGTAAAACAAACTCTGGATGGCACATTCTTAAAAATTTTTTAGCAACGAAATCTCCAAAGTCCAATCTGATCCACGTTATGAAAATAAAAAAAGAAAACAT